CCATATTTGGGTGTGACCATATTTGGGTGTGGTCATATTGGGGTGTGGCCATATTTGGGTGTGGCCATATTTGGGCATGGTCATAAAAGGGTGTGGCCATATTTGGGTGTGGCCACATTTGGGTGTGGATATATTTGGGCGTGGCCATATTTGGACGTGGCCATATTGGAGTTTGGCCATATTTGGGTGTGGCCATATTTGGGTGTGGCCATATTTGGGCGTGGTCATATTTGGGTGTGACCATATTTGGGTGTGACCATATTTGGGCGTGGTCATAAAAGGGTGTGACCGTATTTGGGTGTGGCCATATTTGGGTGTGACCGTATTTGGGCGTGGCCATATTGGAGTGTGACCGTGTTTGGGTGTGGCCATATTGGGTGTGGCCATGGGGTGGGGATGGCGATTGAGGCCATTTTGGGGCCGGGGGCCATTTTGAGGTCAGGGACAAATATGGGGACAAGGACAGGGGTCATGTAGGGACCCACCCTGTGGGGTCAGGGGTCGTTTGGGGCCGTGTAAGGACCCACCCTGTGGGGTCAGGGGTCATTTGGGGCCGTGAAGGGACAAGGACAGGGGTCATTTGGGGCCGTGTGGGACCCACCCTGTGGGGTCAGGGGTCGTTTGGGGCCGTGTAGGGACCCACCCTGTGGGGTCAGGGGTCGTTCAGGGCCGTGTAGGGACCCACCCTGTGGGGTCAGGGGTCATTTGGGGCCCTGTAGGGACCCACCCTGTGGGGTCAGGGGTCATTTGGGGCCGTGTAGGGACCCACCCTGTGGGGTCAGGGGTCATTTGGGGCCGTGTAGGGACCCCCCCTGCGGGGTCAGGGGTCGTTTGGGGCCGTGTAGGGACCCACCCTGTGGGGTCAGGGGTCATTTGGGGCCGTGTAGGGACCCACCCTGTGGGGTCAGGGGTCGTTTGGGGCCCTGTAGGGACCCACCATGTGTGCGCCGTAGTTGGGGGGTTTCCCGGGGGGGTGGGGCAGCCCTGGGCGGATCCCGGAGCCGATCCCGGAGCCGATCCCGGTGTTCCCGGTGCCGATCCCAGTATTCCCAGTGCCGATCCCGGTGTTCCCGGAGCCGATCCCAGTGTTCCCAGTGCTGATCCCGGAGCTGATCCCGGTGTTCCCGGAGCTGATCCCGGTGTTCCCGGCGTTCCCGATGCCCGGGGGGGTCCCGGCGCCCCCGCAGGGGTTGATCCTCTTCTCCTTCTGGCGGCGGTTGCAGAACCAGACCCGAATCACCTCCTTCTCCATGTGCAGCTGCTCCGCGATGCCCAGGATCTCCTCCGAGGTGGGCTTCTGGTTCTGGGGGGATAAAAACCCTATAAACACCCTATAGAGACCCTATAGAGACCCCATCAACACCCCATAGGGCCAGGATCTCCTCCGAGGTGGGCTTCTGGTTCTGGGGGGACAGAAACCCTATAGAGACCCCCTAGAGATCCTACAGATGTCGGGGGTGGACGGATGGAAGCTTCCAGAGAATGCAGAGAGTCATAGATGCTCTTGTGTGTGTGTGTGTCTCATCTCCCCATGCGAGATGGAAGCCGGGTCCGTCGCGGGGACCACCCCCACCTCGCCATAAATGGCGCCCAACGTGGGGCAGGATCCACCCTTCTTCCATTAAGAAAGGTCTCTGGTCACTGGAGCTACTGGTGGATTGGGTTTCCGGAGTCCAATCTGCCCCTAAGACCTCACCCCCCGCCCCGCAGCTGTGACCCCGCTTCAGGACCTGACCGGTGCTTGGAGCACCGCCTGGGGGATAGCGGGTCCGTCATGGGCACCACCCCCACCTCGCGATAAGTGGCGCCCAACGTGGGGCAGAACCCTAGAACAGCCCAGGATCTCCTCCCAGGTGGGCTTCTGGTTCTGGGGGGATAAAAACCCTATAGAGACCCCATAAACACCCCAGGATCTCCTCCGAGGTGGGCTTCTGGTTCTGGGGGGACAAAAACCCTATAGAGACCCCCTAGAGATCCTACAGATGTCGGGGGTGGATGGATGGAAGCTTCCAAAGAATGCAGAGAGATGCTACAGAACTTGGAAGCCGGGTCCGTCACGGGGACCACCCCCACCTCGCTATAAGTGGCGCCCAACGTGGGGCAGAACCCTAAAACAGCCCAGGATCTCCTCCCAGGTGGGCTTCTGGTTCTGGGGGGATAAAAACCCTATAGAGACCCCATAAACACCCCATAAACACCCCATAAACACCCCAGGATCTCCTCCCAGGTGGGCTTCTGCTTCTGGGGGGACAAAAACCCTATAGAGACCCCATAGAGACCCCATAAACACCCCATATAGGGCCAGGATCTCCTCCGAGGTGGGCTTCTGGTTCTGGGGTGGGTTTGGGGGTGTTTTGGGGGTATTTTGGGGTATTTTGGGGTATTTCAGGGTGGTTTGGGGGTGTTTTGGGGTATTTTGGGGTGTTTTGGGGGTTTTTGGGGTGTTTGGGGGTTTGTGGGGTATCCCGGGGTGGTTTTGGGGTGTTTTTGAGGTATTTTGGGTTGGTTTTTGGGGTTTTTGGGGGTGTCTCACCGCCAGGAAGCTCTTCTCGAGGGCGAAGCGCACGTTGGTCTCGATGCTGGT